AAGGGCAACGAAGAAGCTCGTTGTTTGCGCCAAAACAGCCACAGTTTTCATCTACACATGTACGCTAGCTGTCGCTAGCCATGTGGTGAAAGCTTCGCCCCCCCTTGTTCATGAGCTGTCAGTCTGCCAGTTTGTTGCTCATGCGTAGCTTCGTTTGGCACAAACTCGGCAGCTTGTAACTCGTAACTTTCGCACCGTTATGCCGGCCCTTGACGCTGCATGGCGAAGCGAGTTGATCGACCGCCAGGTTCCTCAGCAAGTCTTGGCTTTCTTCGAGAACGAAGGAATTGTCAGCGCATCTCGTTTGGCAAATTATGTCGATACCAGAGATGAGATCATGACTTTAATCGTCGACAAGATTCCTGAGCTCAATGGGAGCCGTTCTGTCAAAGCTTTGTTGACGGAAATCTGGAGGGAAGCGGACCACTCAGAATCCTTGCGGTTGCAGCGCAAAGCTGCCGGATGCCGTGACGATGACATGGAGGATGCATTGCCGGAGCATGTGACAGAAAGTTTGCGGCAGCGGTGGAAGCAAAGGTACAACTTTTCGCTACCTCTTTCGGAGACTTTGTGTGAGCCACTGGTAGGCCGAATCAAGCGAGAGATTGAACGTAAAACCCACACGTTGATTTCGGTGGAGCGTGTGAGGTCTGCCAAAGAAACTGCTCGGTCGGGTGTTGGAAAGAAACTCAAGATGAGCGAAGACGTCACTGTGTCCATTGCTTCTGTTGGGGTGGTCAAAGGGCCTCGGTCAGTTCCTTCCGTCATGGTCTACTTGAGTCTTCTGGAAATTTTGCTCCATGGCTATGCCTATGTCGGGAACTTTGTGGATCATACAAGCAACAGCCTGTACTGCAGTTTGGACTGTATTCGGGAGTACCTCGCCTTCGTGAAATCCAAAGTGGCGCCGTTGACCGGGGGCATGCACTCTCTTTCGGATTTGAGGCGGGCGGACGAAGACAGTAGAACTCTGTGGGCTGAACAAATGCGGTCAGGAAAAACGTTTGATGAAGCTGTCCAGGCTTCTGAAGCAAAGGTGGCCGCATTGTGGCTGTTCGCAAGCCGCACGGACGTCGGCGCGGCCAGCGCAGTAGTGGTGGAGGAAGACGACGATGCAAGGCCGACGAAGCGTCCAAAGGGTGATCCTAACAATGGTGTGGTGGCTCCTCCACCTCCGCCCGCGGTAGCAAATGTCAACGCCGAGGGCAAATCGATTTGCCGGCTGTTCAATGAGGGAAAGTGCAACGGGCAGAAATGCAAGCATGGTCGCCTGCATGTGTGCAACTTCTTGACAAAGAAGGGCGCAGTTTGCGGTCAAGCCCACAGGCGTTGTGATGCCCACAAGGCACGCTGAATTGCACCCCCTCTGTTGCAACCTTCCGAGTCTCCTCGACAGGTGGCAGCAGAGGGATCTCAGTGCAACGACCGTTTCCTAGATGAATTAAGCCCCCGTTTGGAGGGTGCCCGTGCGCATCTTCCTCCTGCTCACTTGCTCCGGGACCTCCGCGCCAAAGCCATGAAAACCGGTGTCCTTACCCTCTTGGTGGTGAGCTTTTTCGATGGTATAGGCTGCGTGTGGCAATCGTTGGCCCACACATGCTTTAGCGTGGAAGGCTTCAGTTTTGAAACTGATTCGCTGTGTTGCGATGTGCTCAAGCAGCACAAATCGATTTCCCAGTGCGGAAGTGTGAAAGGCTTTACGGCACATTGGTTACAACGCAAGTTGGAAGAAACCTCTCCAGATGCGTGTCTGCTGGTGGGAGGCTCCCCTTGTCAACAACT